GTGATACAGCTAGGGGGACTGAAGCAATGTAGCTAAAGTGCCTTGCCCAAGGCCACACAAGCGAATCTGCACAGCGGAGACTCGAAACCCCGACCTTATGATTGAAAGCCCAAACCTCAACCGCTACGCCAAACTTCCGCTATAGTGTGTACAGAGCTTTAAAAAGTGAAGTTTATAGGTCATTGATCTTTAAGGGAGAAAAACAAAATGGTGGTGTGGAGAGCCATTGCTTTCCCTGTGGGTGCATCACAGACCACAGTAATGCTATTTATGGTAGTGTTTGATTAAAAAGAAAAATGTACCTTTACAACAGAATAAAGATATTACTGTCTATGTTGTACTAAAATACACTTCAAAATATGTTCAATATTCGAATAAATTGTGTTTAAGTGTGGTAATAATTTTGAGTTGAAAATTAAAATGAGGGAAAATGTCCTGACCTATTAACGGATACATAAATAATACAAATTCTAAAATGTCTTCACATAGACCCTTAAAATGGCTAGTAGTAATCAATTTTAGGATTTATAGTAACGCTCTGTAAAATAGTAAAAACTTATTTATTTGTTTGTTCATCCAATGAAATTAATAACATATTTGGTTCATTTTTGAATTTTTTTTCCCTCAAAATTTACGATATTTTTAAATAAGGAAATCTACAAAAGGATTTTGTTGTAATTTCTGAGGGTTAATAAATACTATAAATTGATTTATTAATATACTTTGGAAACCACCTGTGGGTCGTTATGCCCAGTCACAAAGGATACATTAAACCTTAAATACAACACAATTATTGAGAAAGGAACTTGCTTTGAGAAAGAAATATAGTGATAAATTATAACAACCTGTTATATACCTAAAAGCTAAATTTATTAATACTATTATTAAATAAAACATTACATTAGTTATTTCATGCATATTCACATCACATAAAAAGTCAGTCCACTTCTATCGTTCTATTGCATTAAAAATGAAATGATCCCGAGTTATTCATTTCATAATTGGACTCGATGTGGTAATTTTATATCCAGACGCACCCGCCCATTGTAAAAATTGATTGCACACGCAAGTATGGCGCAGAAACATAAGGATCAATGATATTTCTATGTTTACAACAGCCTTGAGGTTTGGGCTGGTAGTAAGATCTCACTGCATTTCAGACATCAAGCATAGATGACTGGTACCCAAGGGGAGTTCAAATGTCAACTGAACAATTGCCCCTTCATAAAACATGTAATTAGGTAGCTAAACAGTGACAACCCCATCTGTTGCTTTTCAATTTCCAGCATCCTTAACTAATAAGTAAAGTAATGACCACAATACATTCTCAATTAAAATTAACTGTTGGTTTTGCGTATGATGACAAATATTTGAAACCACAAAAGTTGATGTTTAGTGATTGGATTCTTGAAGGTTGTAAAATAAGAAGTCTTAAAAAAGATTAGAAAAATTCTGTCTTGAGGTAACGAACATAAATGCTATCGCTAAAAAATTTAGGAGGGAGCCGCTTTTTAAAAAAATTCATAAATTTCAAATACAAAACCAGGATTTTTGCAGACAAAATAAATATTTTATATAAATAGTACGCATGTACTTCATTTTAAGCATTTGGAAGTGGTTATTCGCACATCCGTTGTGCGACCAGTATATGTACAGTCTAGCTATGTTAACATGGTGAACGCACAGATGTTTACATTTAAATGCACTTCAACCTACTCAATGATTCGATGTTAACTTTTTCACACTTTGAACGTGAAAATCTTGGGATCCAACCAATCATTAGTCGGCAAAAATGTTATTATCATGTGCAAATTGAAAAAAGAAATTTTAATGCGGGGGCATGAGTGATAATTTAACAATTTAAAAAAGAAAGTCATGAAGGCACCAAATTCCCCAAAACAAGCAGCTTTTAAAATTCTGAAATGAAGTAAAACATTCTACAACACTAGATATATGCATGAATAAACACTTGAGAGTCTTAAGACAAAGACTTTAATTCATCAAAGATTTGATGGCTTATTTGTAGAATGCAAAATTCACATACCTAGACTAATAATATAAGGGTAAACATTCCCTCTTGTATAAGTGACTAAGATAATAACAATGTTTTTACAGTGGCGGATTCAAAAGGGGAGGGGAAGCAGCCACCCGGCCACCTTAAAATTTTTAACAATTATAAAAAATTATATTCAAATTGAAGTCCGAGTGTGCCATTTCCAGCCATCTAAAAGTGTCATAATCATAAATTCCTTACATAAGCCCCAAACATGGTGGGGCTGAGGTGGTCTAGACCCTTCATCTATGAAAGCCCCTTCCAGGACCCCCTCTATTTTGAAATTCCTGGATCCGCCATTGATTTATATATTAGTGCTCTACACAACTTAGTGAAGAGCGCTTCACATTATTACCCCATTCATTGGAAAGATGCCTATGGACTCAACTCCCTGGGGGAGTATTCAATAACTTGCTGCACGAAATAAATTTGTGCTCTGGCACTCCAATCTCCTAGGTACCCACATTAATGTATACCCCTGGGTGGAGAGGGACAAAAATAGATAAAATTCCTAGAGCAAGGACACCAACAACTTGCACTAGGGTACTGAACCCTCACCCTCAAGGATGAAAGTCCAAGCCAAAACTGTTGCACCAATCGCTGTTGCAAAAAGAGCTTCATAATCACTTTAATCACTTCCATAAACGATTCCATCACTTAAGTACTTCCATCAACTCTTGTTGGACACACCCAATAGATTGCTGTTCATAGTTTTCAAACTTTTAATATAGTCCAGAATTTCATAGAGATGTATTTTTGTAGTTTGAGAAAAATTTTTTTTTTCATATGAAATTTGGGAGTGGGGAAGAAAAGATAAGGAGAAAGAAAGGGATCTACAAACACTTTGTTTGCCATGAAATTGTCTCGACAGCACAAATTTTCACTTTACTTTTGATTTTCTCATTTCCGATTCTCATTAAAGTTGAGAAAATTAATTAACTTCAAAACACAACAATAATATCTACAATAAATATCTCCAAACACAAAGAGCAAAGAAGATAGAATCTTTTCTGGACAATGGAAGAATTTGATACATATTCAGAGAAGTTGCATTTGTAATCTGCAAGGAACACTACTTCACTTGCTGTATCCTCCATTCTGCAGTTCCTTTTCCTTTCATGATTCTATAATTACAACATCAATGCCATCAAAATAAACTCATAAAATTCCCATCGTGAACTTTCTTCTCCCATCGGCAATGTCTTCCGTTAGACAATTGAAAATAAAGTAGTAAAAACATAGGAATTTTCGGGAGACAGGTTATGTTCCGGGAGATTCTTGCTTACGGGAGTGGGGGAAGGCTCTCCCCATTTCCAGGGAACATGTACTGTTTGTGAAGACTGACAGTATAAAAGATAACTCGAAGCAATATCAACACATTTGATAAAATGATTCTCAGAATATTTCAGATCTTTTTACAGAAATAAAATTTCAACACAATAATAAAAATAAAATAATGTATGCAAATAGACATTCCCAGGGATTTCATATTTCAACTCTAGTTTCAAGGTTCAAAAGTTCAGAGCATAAATGTCAAGCCAACTATTTAAATGATAAATATAAAAAAGTAAACTCAAATTGTTGCAATATACAATATATTTTTAACAGTTAGAAAATATATAGCACACCACTGCTAATATAGTGATTCCTGAAATTTAGATATTTTAAATGTCACGATCTGACAGACTTCAATTAGTACCCACTTAACTCCGAAAGTTAATTATAGCAACACTGATGTCTGCGTTTTGAGGATTAATAACGGTTACATATTAATCCTGTAGAACTAGAAAGCATTTTTTCCGCTCCTGATAAAAGCGGATTATTGTCTACAAAGTGCAAAATGGTGGCAAAATAGGATGACCGAATAGGAGGATCCAAATAACCATATCATTAATTCCTACGGGATTACAAGCAGGATTAAATAATATAAAACATGGCTAACCAACTGAAAAAAAAAATAATAAAGGTTAGAATTTTTTGGTGGTGTTAGAGAGTTAAAGGTGCTATGATCCTCCAATAAAGTAAAATGTATTACTTATTTATATTGTTATATTTTGTTATTTAGCATTTATATAGTGACTTTCCTTCTAGGTTAAGTTCTTTTATGTTTTCCCTTGGCCATTGAGGTTCACATGCTCGTGTTGCTGCCATATTAGCGTAGCAGCACGCAAGCCCACCAGGTGCCCATTTACTCTCCTGGGTGCAGAGAAGCAACGCAGATAAAGTGCCTTGCTCAAAAAGACAAGCGAAGCATAAAGGGAATGTCTCTTATTTCCTCTTAGACCAAAAAAATGACCTATTCTAAAATACAATTATAGTAACATTTGATAATAATAATTAATATTAAACATTGATAATGGTGACCTGGGGCGGATACAGGATTTGGCGGTAGGGGGGTGCGTGAGTGTCCACACTACTTTAGCACCACAATGGTCGGGGCTGAGCTGAGGAAATTTTGAGAATATGGACTGTTAGGTGCCCGGAAATTGCACTCTTACACTTTGAAAATCTTACCGGTACTATATATTCATAATGATAAAAATACAATACAATACAACAATTATTTTTCTTAATACAATTTAGGTAAATGTAAAGGTAACCCATAACCCATTGCACCTTCCAAAAGATTTAAAGTGCACATGAGCCAGATGTAGACGCTAGACCTCAATTTTAAGTCTTTATTCAAGAAGACTTTGTTCTACCAACTGAACCACAGGTGATGAGCGGCAGGAACCACCACCAATGTTAAGGCTGTAGTTAGCAGCGCCCCCACCTTACCTCTTGGCCACTGGACTCGCCCAAAGCAAAAGATGGTTGAAATTGAACAAGGGAGGTGCGATTGCACCGTCTGCACCCCCTTCTCCCCTTCCTCTCTGTATCCACCCCAGGTGACTCTTCTACATTGGTTTACTTAACAGGTCTACAAGATGCACCTTGAGTGACTTACCTGGATGGTAGCTGGTGTAAGCAGCTTTTGTTAGACCTGTCATATTACTATACTTCATTGTTGAGTAAAAATGTGAACCCTGTCCATCTTCTAATTGACTCGTCCTAAAAAAAAGGAAACAGATAATACAGTATACGGTGCAGTATGCAATCTCAGAAATAAGTTGAAGGAGGGGGAGGTGCTAATTAAAAACCTTACAGGCTGAAAAACCTGACGACACTACTATTCCCTCTTCTTTCTCTGGGTGCCGAGATAGGAACGGGTGTTGATTTATACTGTATGATGATATAAATTGCTCAGATGTTTTAATAATCGTTACCCAGAAGAATGGGGGAAAAAAAAGAAAATCTGGGCAAAGGGCAGGTGACTACGACTGACAAACCAATTGGGGATGGGGGGGGGGTCTTTAACTACCAGTTAGCGAAAGCGTAAATTGTTAGCGAAAAAAGTAGCTGGACAAAGGGCAGTGACCACTTTTGCTTAATGTTAAAACAAAGTAGAATAGTATTTAGATCTAGATTAAAAAATAATTCTTGGTGTGTCCTGTTAATCACAAGAGAGCGGCTTTGTAGTAGCCATTGTCGGAGTTGAACTGTGGAGATCTCTTGTCTCTGGTTGAGTCCTCATCATTGCTCTCGTATTTCAGTTGGAGGGCTGAAATACAAGTTAGGATAACGCACCATCTTTGGGATGACTGTGTGCATTATGGCCTACTTATATGTGCATGTTAAAGAACACAGTATGCTATATGGAAAATAGTAGGAGATTGTCTTCTGGTGTACTGCCCAATCACCACCAGAAGGATCCCACTGGAAATAAGTTTTCTTCAGACTTTCATGGTTCATCCTTGGTGTTTACACCGAATAAACTCATCCATCCACATTATCATTTTTTTCAATTCCAACAATGTGTTATAAGTCCAATAGCATTATAATTCTTATTAACTGACATTGACTCACAAATCAAAACATTGCATACAAACGAAATTTAGGGAGATTTCAAGAAATGTTTACTCATAAAAAACTATGACTTAGCATAAAGAGAATTATGAATGTTGTTTAATTGTCCCGTGTAAAGATGACACCACATAGTAATGATCAAAACTCAAAACAAGGATGCTATTATTAAGACAAGGATACATACAACAATAAAACTATTTACATGGAAGTTATGATCATACAGTGTAGGCTTGTGTCGTTTGCTTTAACCAATATCCTGAGTTTGAGGATATTCAATTGCGATTACACCCATTTTCTTGTACTGTTAAAACAGTTTCATAATAATAATTGAAGCAATCGCAAAACATGTTTTTTCGTGGATTTTATATTTTCATTTTCAACCTCATATGTGTCAAAAACAAGACTTTTGAAGTGACGTTCTATTTTAAAGCAGCTAGGGAATATTTGGAATTTTGTTAAACAAATTAAACGTTCAGTAATTTTCTTAAAATAATACACAAGTTTTTTTAAGCAGAAATATAGGAAAGGCCTTGAAACCAAATCAATAATCTATGCTATGAAAAAAAGATTTAAGAAAATACTCCAAAATGGACTAATGCAGATGAACCAATACCATGATATAACCAGTGAGAATAATGATTTAAATTATTTTATCTAAAACTAGCAATTTGGGGTGCTTTGCTGTGTTTTGTCTAAGTGTGTGTCTTAAAGTTCGAAGACAGTCTATAAATGATACAATGTTCCTTTGATCACTAATAAATTCTTTTTGCACTGGAATACAAAATGACTGTATTTGTCCAGAATTATTATTATTTGTATTATGTAGTGAAATTAAGAAATTAATTAAGAAATTTATGACTTCAAATTTCTTTGAACAATGGAAGGATTCTTAACTAATGATGTAAATAACCATAGTGTGCAGTAAAATTATGAAGAAAACAACATTGAGTAAAATTACGAAGAAAACAACACTGAGCAAAATTACAAAGAAAACATTGAGTAAAATTACGAAGAAAACAACATTGAGCAAAATTACAAATAAAACAACATTGAGTAAAATTACAAATAAAACAACATTGAGCAAAATTACAAATAAAACAACATTGAGTAAAATTACAAATAAAACAACATTGAGTAAAATTACAAATAAAACAACATTGAGTAAAATTACAAATAAAACAACATTGAGTAATATTAAAAATAAAACAACATTGAGTAAAATTACAAATAGAACAACATTTCAGAGTAAAATTACGGTTATAAAGCATACTAAAGAATGTGCCATTGAAGTTAGGAGGTGGGCCATCTAAACCACTGGGGTTATATTTAAACTAAAAATACTTCTAATATCAACTTCAAAGAACTACAGTAAACACTTCCAACTGTTGAATTAGGGAAATACTGTTCAAGTTCTGATACTTCCTCTATTAATTCCACCGAAGTCATTTAAACAAAATTGAGATACATTAAAGTTGACAAAACATTTGAAAGTCCAGCCGGAAGTTATACTGATTAACACATTCTCTTTCTGTTCCATTCATTACAAATAAGGCAGCATTACAACAAGTTGTAACTCTGATCCCCATTTGGTTTTTTCCAAGTAAGGCATGTTACAACGATTCAGATTATTCCGAGTAAAGCAACCTTAAAACAATGATACTGCTAAGTTGCATCTTTCTAAATGGTCCCCATTTGGTTCATTCTGAGTAAGGCATGTTACAGCGATTTAGATTATTCCGAGTAAAGCAACCTTAAAACAATGATACTGCTAAGTTGCATCTTTCTAAATGATCCCCATTTGGTTCATTCTGAGTAAGGCATGTTACAGCGATTTAGATCATTCTGAGTAAACAACCTTACAACAATGATACTGCTAAGTTGTATCTTTCTGAATGGTCCCCATTTGGTTCATTCTGAGTATGTCATGTTACAACGATTCAGATTATTCCGAGTAAAGCAACCTTACAACAATGATACTGCTAAGTTGCATCTTTCTGAATGGTCCCCATCTGGTTCATTTTAACCCTCTAGATACCGTCTTTGACTGTAGTCGAAATTGACCTCAAACCGAGAATTCCCATTTTCGACTGCAGTCGAAATTTAGTGACTAAAAAATAGGTGGTTTTCAAATCGCTCTTCTGTTTTTATTTTAGCTCCAATACGTCAGAAATTTTGAACACGCATGCGTGAAGCTTTTTTCTTTCGAAATCTGTGAAGAACTCACATGTGCTTACATAAAAATTTTTAGAAATATCAATTTGAAATCGTTATTAATTTCAAAAATTTTTCGAAATGGCCGCACAAGATGTGTACACAGCCGAGGAAGCGATTGACCTGATTTTTGATTCAGACAGCAATGAAGGTGAGTTTTTAGATGTGCGAGACTTAGACGTGCCTGTTAGCAATGATGACGGTGGGGCTTCAAGCAGTTCTGACGGCGGAGATGTTCTTGATGAAGATGAGCCTAGGCCTAGAAATGTGAGGGTGGTCGACGCTTTTGAATGGAAAGATCGTGCTTATAGTTATGGATGGTTGGGTAAATAAATTATATAACTGCGTGGAATAGGAACGTTTTATATTTGTTTTTTTTTTTTGGCTATAATTTTTTTTTTTTTTGGCTAATTTTTTTTTTTTTTTTCGGTTTTTGCTGACGATTTTTATGTAGCATTTTTCTGTCATTTCTATTATATTATATATATTATATTATATTATATTATATTATATTATGAAAAAAAAATCCTAAAAATATAAATTATACATTAAATGAAAGCTTATTCTATAAGCTTTCTTTGTTTTTGGAAACATTTTTCTGTATAATTTACATAAAGTTCCCAGAAATCCACCAGAAGGACATATACTCAAAAAAACGCAAAAAACCTTGTTACACTGCAAAAGAATCCGGTATTCAAGAGTTTGCACTACAAAAGAATCCGGTATCCAGAGGGTTAAGGCAACCTCAGGTTATTCATTATGTGGCTTTGTGGAAAAAAAAAAGATTTCTTAGAATGTATCCATGTATGATTTGTTTTAAAATGAAGCAATAAAAGTTGAAATAAAAAAAACAAAAAAACCTGAGGGGTCCCAACTTGTCAAAATTGACTTCCTGGAGAATTTTCAACGCGTGTACTAGCTAAAACGTATGTACAAGGATATGTGTGTACAAGTTTATTGCCATGCTCAATTAAAAAAAAAAGAAGCTTAGGCAGGTTTAGGTCACTGTTAATACCTTATTGCTGTCTAGAATGTTAAATGAATCTTATGTCTGCCACATTTAATGCACAAGAATGGGAAAATTTAGCTAAGCATAAGCCGTAATTGTGAAAATCTGTTAAAATCCTGGAGAAATTTAAATTCCCAGGGGAAATGTGGAATTTCCGGGAGATGAACCAAATTCCCGGAGACTCCAGGGCAATCTGGGAGACTTGGGAGCTCTGCAACTTTACACAACAATGATACTGTTTATGTATCTCTGATTGATCTCAATTTGGTTAAATTCCAATTAAGGCAATGTTACTGCAATATTGTATTGTTAAGTTGCATCTCTCCTTCTAATTCCCATGTGCCTTGCAGCTACCCTCTGGGAGTAGTCCCAGGATTTTCCTAATGGATGGAAGGGAGAAGGGCCCAAAGTGGTCTGGCAATGGGGTCTGAGAGTTCTTGCAGAGTTCAATGGCTAACATCCTAGGGGCCTAGAGAAACTGGGAATTTTTTTGGGTCATTTTAAGCCTCTATAAGACATATTAAAATGTATTATACCCTAAGTTTTTTTCAAATTAAAATTTTTGCCACAATTGTTCATTCTTCCGTAGCATAATTAACAGTTGTTCTTTCATAGAAATCTGAGTTTTGTCTTATAAAACGCTAAATGAAACCATATGAGGCTAGATTTTTCAGAATCCGTTTGCTCAAGCGATAGCAAAAAAAATGTGAAATTAGATTAGTGGGATAATGAGGAACAGTGAGAGATTGTAACAAGAGTACACCTTTCACATTATCAGCTATTTACATTTGAAATACAGATCATACAGGAAGTCAAAAATTTAACACAAGCTGTACGCATTTTATCTGTACAACTTCAGAGTATTTCTTGCTCTTGTCGAAAATTTCCTGGCACAAATTTCTGTTGTAATAACTACTGATAGCTAGCCACCAAAGCAATCTTGGTGGTCTAGTGGAATAATATAAGGTTAGTAAATCCGGAGGCCGTGTATTCAATTCCCATCTGAATTATTTGTAACTTGCAATATATCAGTATTTTAAAGTACCCATCCTGTACATTGAGTATCATATTCAGGACCAGTGGAACGTTTTTCAAAGTGCAGGGCCCACTAGTAAGATGAATGGGAATATGAATTGAGAAGGAGTCGATCATACAAAAATATGCATACATATTATATATTTTCTGCCAAAAAATGAGGAACTCGGTCTTCTCCCTTGTCACATGATGACATATTTCTTTGTTTAAACATTCACATCGAAATGAAAGCCAGCATCCCTATTCTTACATATTGATTCGATTTTCTAATCTGTTCAGTAGGCATTACGATCCAAAAATTCGGATTCACTGTGAATGCATGGGAATGTGCACAGGCCAGACCATAGCACATTTGCGTTTTCAGCTTGTAAAATTGAGCTCTCTGAAACACTTGATGGAATAAAATATCAAAGAAAGTTTAGAATATCAATGAAAGTTTAGAATATCAATGAAAGTTTAGAATATCAATGAAAGTTTATCTTAAGCTCTGTCCAGTCTATCAGATGTTCTTTAAAAGAAAACTGTTGTATGACCATATACTGTATACACCATTTTATCGGGTCTATTTTGAAACAGCACCACCAACGTCTCACAACTTTTCACTGATGGACTTCCAGAGGAATAGCCTGATCAGCTGGCTAGTTAGAAATGGAGAACTGCGCAACAAATAGCGCCGCTAGACTTTTGCTATAGCAGCAGCAGACAACAAATATGATATTTTGCTAATTACTGTATTTAAACATTGAAATAGCTTTTTAAGACCTGTTTTTAAAATCAACGTTTCGTTCTTTTTACTCTTTAAAATATTTGTGCTCGTTAGTAATTTAGTTGAATTAATCCATAATGGTAACTACGTAGAGCGAAATTTTAGGCCTCCTGAAGTCTCTCAGTAGTAGTTGCCAGGTCCTCAAATTTGGCAAAAATGGTGTATAGCTGCGATGAACCCATGTATGATCATGATGTGATGTCATCATGACCATATTTAGGCATGTCACATGTTTTTGTCATATAAAATTTGATAGTCTGGACAGGACATTAAACAATTTCTATAATTGTTCCATTATAAGATAAAATGTAAAACGTGTCATTTAACATTAACATGTGGATATTACTAATTGAACCCCGTTTCATTTACAAGTCATATTTTGTGATGAATAATGAGGGCTCACTCAATGTCCTAATAATTTGAGTTATAGCTGTTAAAATATACACTTTGTTAACACTAAAATCTGGTAAGTGTATATAAGGATGGATAGTGGATTTATTAAAGGCAACAGCTGGTGGTACAAGCAACAATACATAGTTCCATAAGGGCATAACTCTGAAGGAAGGAAGATAGAGTTGTAGAGGAAATCACCGCGAGCGTATTTAAAATGTCCCCACCCTGACGATAACATGTCAGAGTATAAAAACAAGAAGCCTTTCCTTCCTCTAATTCAGCCGAGGATTAAGATCATGTACAAAGCATTTGCTAAGATAAAGGCCAACACATCACACATAGCTCAAAGGCTAAAGCGAAATCCATGCAAGTTCCAACAAACATTTATGACTTTATTTCATTTTTATGAATTCTCTGTACAGAAACTAAATTTTAATGCATTTCATAACTGAATATCTTAAATCTAATTTTTTGAACAAATTCATGGTAATTTATTATACAAATTTCATACAAATTTTAATTTCATGTACACACAATACATTGAACTTTATTCAAAAACTGAAATAAACATAATTATTATCATTTCTCTAGGAATTCTCTCATTGGACTAATAAAACATATCTCACCATCTTTTCCTATTTAAGGCAATCACTTCAATCATATACACATTTTTTATTTTATTTTGTAGGATGGGGTTGGAAAACCGCATAGAAAGTGATCAATTTTGCTATTGAAATCCGGTTAACCTCCTGAAAACATTCTTAATTTTTTGTTGCTTCGTGTTTTTGGTTTTTGAATATTGTATTTTTATATCAAGTGACAACATAAATGACATGAAATGAGAGTGAATGAATAGTATTGATGTTGTAATTTTTGAGCAATGACTATTCTCAATGTTATTTCCTTTTGGACAAATTCATTTGAATTTGAAATTTGAATTTGAAACTTTCACTTTATAGATTTTGACATATATAGTTTAAATAAATATACCTGTAAGAATTTAAGAATGGGAAGAGGTGCATCCACAATTTGTAACATTTTTGGTCACACATGTGACAAAGAATGGCCCATAAATGCCAAAATATCATCTGTAGAATCTATATTATTATTACCTTTTAAACACATTTTTCTTTTTAATACCATAAATAATCTTCATCTCAACTCTTGTCATATTTGGTACGAGTTCAGAGGTGTTTTTAAAAATAATTCAGTCCCTGTCATTGTGGAATTATGTCAAATCAGCGCTTCTAAGTAACTAATATTTACAATAAAAAAAATAATGTACAGTGCATCTCATAGGGAGCTTTTGAATTGCACGTACAATGTAATGACATCACTAAAAGTCGTCTGCGCATGCGAGAACGTTAAGTTCACCTTGTCGAGTAGATTCTGAAATGCAATTTAGCCAAATCTACGTATGCAGAGAATGTAGGACGTCAGGTAGGACTGTCACGCATGAGTGATTCCATTCTAGCGTTGCGTCGTCGCACAAATCGAAAGTTTTCCCCCTTCCCATGTTAAGCTCTGGTATTGCTTAAGCCCCCTTTACATGGAATTCCTTGCTGCATTCAGTTTGCCATTCGTCTAATTTGCTTTCTTTTAGCAAATATCTTAAAACCTATATATTACAGGATGTTCCCTTGCCTTATTTCCTCACATAGCGCCTTTGATAAATTTTGAATTGGCACTTTATAAATATTTGTTATAATATTATTATTAATAAACGGGGCATAACTCATCAGTTTTGAAGGTCTGTGCTATATTTTAAACGATTTTCATATTTGAATTCTGGTCGGTCTGCCAAATAATTCTGGCAAATCTGGTACCAAAGACTTAATCATAGGACAAGTTCTTAAATGTGTACTTTTTACATATCTTGGAATGCAGAGTAATCAATAAGACACAATTTGGATAATGCATCCATGCATTAAGAAGGAAGTTTATATTAGTCTATCATTATGACAAACTATTCACATTTGCATTGTATGCAGAATTATGAATTACATCATTCCATCAAGCTCTTCTACTAATAGTTATATGACTAGGTTATTAAATTTTCAAAACATTTTCAATTCACAGCCAACAAATGACATTGGAACTTCCGAGAGTGTCAATCAAACTTAACAACTGACCAATCAGATTTATGTTATTTATGGTCAGGAATATACGCACATCCCACAAACACAGAAATTTACATATATTTTATGTTATAATTTTTTATGACCTTGGCAACAATAAGCAAGAGAAAAGGCTTTACCAGAATGGTTCATTACACTAAACAACCAAAACTCACCTATTAAGTTTGTAGTGACCAGTCATGCCCAGAAATATAGGAATAGAGCATTTTAAACAAGATCTCACTAAACTAAAATTTATATGCTCTTAAAAGGAATGATGATAAAGTAAATGTCTTACCTTGCCATTCTTTGGGTGCTGATGGGTTTCCGGCTGCCAGCTGATTGAGGAGGGGGTTTCGGCTTGTGACCTTGAGCCACTGAACTGCGGTGAAGAGCATCTCTTAAGGCAGAAACGTTAGAGTGAGCTTGGGCAATCTGCAGAAAATCAAAGTTGTGTATTTTGAATTAAAATTGAATTTATAGATATGTCAATTGTGTGCAACTATTTTCTGATGTGTCATCATTCAGTGTAATTGGTTAATTTTTGTTTGTTTGACATGAGAGATTATATTAATCTGGAAAAAAAAAATTACTTGCATAAAATGAATTATGAGTAAAGTTCTGATATAAATACAATAATATAATCACAATGCAGTAAATATTAACATAAACATTCCCTAAATACTTGGAACTTACAAGTTAGTAAAACTCAAATAGTTCAGTCAAAATTGAAATGGGAGAAGACAAGACAAGAGAAAAGGATAGGAAATATGAGAAGTTTAAAGATGGGGAGTGTAAAGATGGGAATAGTAAAAATGAGGAGAGGAAAGGCAAGGTGAGGAAATTGAGGAGGGAAGGAGGTGAGAGATTAGAGCAGTAAAGATGAGTACAGTTTACAATGAACAGATAGTCCGAGTTGAGAAATATATGTAGAAATGAGGAGAAAGTGAAGTACTGTTATGTCAACCAATAAATTTGTCTTATCCATCAACAGTGGCACCAAGGAGGTATAAAGAATATAACCCCTTGATGGCACTATTCCTGTTTTAGGAGGTGGTTATTGTCTCAAATGTATTACCCTCCTGACCTTACTACACTGTAAATATTCAACATTCTCAAAGACAGGAAGCCATGTGATTCATAGCAGTCAGCATATTCCCATGATGCTAAGGTGTGCCCAAGACATGCATCGTTAATGAGACATTAATGCACATCTTCTCAGCACGAGTGATGGATAGACTGGGAACGTACATGCACACCCAACTCAGGCAGATTATGGTTAGGGTTAAGATTTGAAAATGTGAAGAATATGGTGCTTAAACTGTAGAAGCCAGCTACTGACAATTTTCCAATGTGCCTTATTATTAATTTGTCAATTAAAATTTTGATCTTAACTTAAAAAACTTTTTGCAGCACATTCTCGAAATTGTCATTGAATGAAGTGAGGAAGTTTCAGTAAAAAACAGATTTTCATGAAACAGATGAATTTATGAAATACCCTAGATAGAGGAAAGGATTATAAAGCATTGAAATAATGTCACTGACCTAATATAAAAGCACTCATTTAAAACTCCTTGTTAATATGTATTGTTTTAAAAACAATCAGCATTAATCTGATATAAATATTTTAATAATGCAAAAAAAAAGAGTGCCTTAGTTTAATCATGAATAGTTTTTACATAAATACTACGAATCCTTTATCCTGTAAAAAAAATCAGATAAAATAAAAGAAACAAATAAAATAATGAAAAATATGGATTGAAAAAAGAAACAATATTGATATGTGTCATATTTCTGTAAAGTGTAGTTCATAATCAATGGCAATATCTGAAGAAATATTCAAATGGTAGGTTGGTAGGTTAAAGATGCAAATATTTGTTCTCTAGTTTTCATTCAAGTCTCCACTATTCCAAGATCAATCAACACACAGCTCATCCATCTTTTGATTTAGTACACATTGTGGACCGCCACGGGGGAAACTATAATGATATAGGACACAGGCTTTAACCAAGACACTTAAAAGATGCGGGGAAACACGCAAAGGATTTAATCGTAAATTATTATCCATAATAGTAGGTACTGTTGGCATGCAAGATGTTAAAGAACGAAAAGTAGAAACACATGGATGTGTGGTATCAATGAGAATACAGTTATTTAAGGAGGAAACAACATACCCACAAAAAAAAACCCACTCAACAGACAGAAATTTAGAAGGGACCCATGCAGTGTGAAAGTACACTGTACTTTCACAATAAGTAATGAAGCTACAACATCAAATTTGATTAATATTAGATTTAAATAGATAAGGTTTAAAAGTAAACTTTAATGTTTTGTTAATCCCATCATTGTTTTAAAAAAAAGTTCTGTGGGATTGTAATGTACCCACGCAATAATATTAATGTCCCGCAATTATTCAGAAAAAAGTCTGTGTCTTTGTGTTGTAGTTAGATAAATAAACAAAACATTTGAGATAATGTATTGGGAATTTTGATCAAGGCAAATTGTATAATTCTTGATTAAAAACTGTAACAACATTTATATTTTAATGCTGTTGTTACAGTTCTTGAGAAAAAACTGGGACGTCATTAAAAATCTAAATACTACCGAATGAAATAAGACAATCTTCAGGTCCAAAAATTGGTAGGCCTATTAATAATCTATCAATTTATTATTGATCAGCATATAATTATCAACTAATGATCAGTGGCGTAACGATGGGCTCGAGGGCCCTGTGTATTTCTGAAACAGGAGGGCCTTTTGGGGCTCCGGTCACCAATTTCATCGTGGGATTTTAGATGTGCATTGTTATTCTAAATGTTTTTAACGACAAATAAATGATATACTGTAATATGGATCTAGAAAATTGAGGCCAGGGAGGGACTTTCACAGCTGGAGAGTCTATACCACCTCAGACCCACCATTATTGGGGCTGAGGTAAGAAAATTTATGTATATGGTACCTTTAGATGGCCGGAAATGGCACTTCACAGACAAAATTGTGAATAGAATTTTCCTTTTATCTCCAGTTAAAAAATATTTTGACAAATTTAGTGGGGCCCAGGGCGTGCAGTTCTCCACCCATCCCCCACTCTCTTTATTCTGCCACTGGATATAATATGATATTATTTCAGACACACATTATGCCGTTGCCTTTGTGGGGCTGAGATGTATTACTATGGCACGTCTAGATGGCCGGAAATGGCACTCACAGACTTCAAATTGTGAATATAATTTTCTTTTTATCTCCATTTAAATTTTTTTTTTTTTTTGACAAATTTGGTGGGGTTCCAGGCCGAGAGGTGGAACCATTATAATATGATATATGCTCTACAGTCGATTTCAGAAACACATTATGGTATTATTTATCAATAAAGGCATTTTTGGTCTAGATCCAGGAACCTATAGTTAGGGCCCCTCGGGGGGGGGGCCTGCGGACCGCCACATGAGAGCGCATAGGCGTTAAGCCACTGCTAATGATTAATTCAATCAATCTGCCAACTTGAATGGAAATGACTATCCTTGAAATTGCAATTCCTTATCCTTACAGTACGCTGCCCCTTCCGTTGTTGATCGCTGTCTCTTAATGTCAGACTATTAATATTTTAGATTTGTTTTTCTCTCATATCGGTTTTTTCATTAACATCAACAACTAGTTCAATATAAGAACACTAAATCATTAAAAAATTTGAAACAGATCTTTTATGCCTAATTCCGGTGGAGGTTAAGGTAATTTTTTTCTGAATGAATATATCAATTTGCTTTCTAAGCAGCTGGTTCAACTTTGCTGATATTATGATATATTGTGGATGTCACTTCCTGTCTGGCTATCGATTTTGATCGGCTGTAAAATAAATCAAAATCTCAAAGCATGAATGTAAAGGCTTGTTAACCCTTCAATATAACCATATTACCATTAAAATACCAAGTTTCCATTCAGAGCTAAGTCTATCATATTGTGTTATTGTTTTTCAATTTCAATTTTTCAATTTCAATTTCTTTATTTGCTACAAATGCCATCAAGGGCCAATATCCGCTAAAACAAACACATACGACGAGAGAGAAACGTCGCACGTCCATCTTGCACAGCGCCGTCCCTCACCATCCTCACCATTCCACATTATGCACGCACATCATACATTCCTTTGCAGACAGAAGTAAGACATAACCGATTTTTATTCAACTTTTATATGTTGAAGACATAATAATAAAAAACATGTTTGTCACTCATTTTTTATGTGAAAAATTTCCATATATGGTATGATATGATATTATTCATGGCCAAATGTAGGTAAATCACCAATATTTATCACAGATAACTTGATACTGTGGTTGCTTTCAAAAACACCCAGAAAACCCTGCACAAACCATAACATCTTCATAAGCCCAAAATAATCATTGTTTCCACACCATTTCCTAATTCACCATACAAAACTAGTCTGTCTAAGTATTTGGCCTAAGTTTTAATTCAATAATTTTGACATATGTTAAATACAATTACAGGTGAGTCTTATAATATTCAAAATCAAACTTCATTAAAATCAAAGTAGAATGTAAGGTCGGGGGTTTGTAAACTACTTCCTTTGAGATAAATTAATAACAGGATTAAAAAAAGATCATTTGTGGCAAAGACAAATCAAACCAGTCACTCCTCTCAAAAGCAGTAAAATAAGAGCTATAAAATGGTAAAAGAATCATTTAAATCCGACATTTCGTTATGAAGTTACAGGAGTTTAAACATACAGCTGTTTATAAAAATATTTGAGAAATCAGAATTTAAAGTTTACGATTTTGGGCATTTCTCTGGCAGAAACCATTACCAAATGTTAAAAATTGTTGTTTTATTATTGCAAATGGGAAAAATAACAACACAGCATGATGTATAGATATATAAAGGTTAGTTATAGTGCAATAAAATATTGGTGATAAATAAATTTGAGTTAAATTAATCAAACAAACAAAAAATCAAAAAAAAAAAATCAATAGTGAATATAATACAATATCATCAACAGATTTAAAATCATACAATAGCCAGATGATTTCCAGGAGAGCAGCTAAACTATTATTATTAATAATATTAATTGTGCATCTGAAATATTTTGTTGACAGAGATCATAATTTATTTTTTCCAGGTTTCTTCATTCATATTCTATAGTCCTATTCAATTGGCTGAAATGCATCACATGACATGCAACTAAATCAACCAATCACAGACTAGATATTCACACTTAATACTCGAAAAGGTTACATCATGTAAAATGCACTATTGTAATACAGCTAAATAAGGTATGTTTTTCTAAATTTAGATAACCAGCCTGCTTTTCCATTTGCATATGCCTGTTAATCCGTAATCACGTCAGTGGGAGTTTATATGACATCATAAACTATTTCCTTTGGGAATACATCCGCAGTATCCAAGACCTCACTGGGAATCAAATACAATTTGCTGGTGTTTGATAATTTTTGTCTTCATCATGAACAATCATATTTATGATAAACTTTATTAAATGTGGATCTAATATTGCATACCATAATACTTTTTGTTCTTAATTTTTATCAAGATTATCATTAAGGTGATCATGCATATTAATTGATTTAGAATGACTGCATATTATTTGATCAGAATGATATATAAAAACATCAATATCATATGATTAATTGCACTTTTATTTTGTTTTATAATTGGTATTTTGGGTTGTTTGCAGATACCACCATTATTGGCACTTAGTGACAAGTACCACTGTACTATAAATGGTCATATTTAATTATTAATATGGTATTATATGTGATAATGTCAACTGTAGAAAAAATACATCCAATTTAGTAGGGTTTGAAACAGTATACACAAAGCAGAGAAAAAGTAATAATTGAGGTGCTATTAGAAGACTAAATATGGCAATTTCCAGGTCTGCAAAAATTGGATACAATTTAGTATGGTTTGTAATAGTAAGCAGAGATAAAGTAAGATTTGAGATGCTTCCAAAAAAGACTAAATATGGCAATTTCCAGAAGGTCTGCAAAAAATGGATCCAATTTAGTAATGGTTTGATAGTAAGCAGAGAAGACTAAACATGTCAATTTCCAGAAGGTCTGCAAAAAATGCATCCAATTTAGTACAGTTTGTAACAGTATACACAAAGCAGAGAAAAAGTAAGATTTGGGATGCTTCTAAAAGACTACATATTATGGTAATTTCCAGAAGGTCAAAAATATGAATGTCATTCCACAGCTTGACCTGCAAAAAATACAGTGCAGGAATATATAGTTGGTATTACAACAGTGGCCAAATATTTCCCTAATATAAGTTGGAGAGAGACTATGAAAAGATTTAAGAATGGTGATGGGTATTTTAAGATCGTTTGTCATGAGATAGGAAGGTAGTGGACACAGTAAAGTAGGGGTGTTCTATGTTGGCAACTAGGAATGTTAGTAATGGCACGAGCAGCTGAAATGAGTTACAAATATTGGGTAAAGCCGTATTTAGTTTAGTTACCATCATGGTGACGCATACAAACTACCTTATCATTAACATTTTTGGTTTAAAAGTTGTGGACGTTACCCAGGTGTGTGAATGAGCCATGAAATTGTTTATATATGTATGCCTGATGGAATGATTTATGAGTTATGTCATACCAATGTTTCTGAAATTTGTTGAATGTTGTTACAAATACTTTCATTGACTAATCCATCTTCATATTTTGTCCAATACTCACACCATTTCTGAGAATATGATGTCATTAAACATTAAGTATTATGAATACAAAACCCACAAGAACAGATATATCATACTGTTGGTTAGGCTGCTTCCTGGCCCAATCACGGTCATACTGGTGAGGGGTCATCTAACTAAAGGTTACTCCTTCAAAGAATGAACAATGATGCATATTCTTACCTTCTCTTGATGCTTTGCTTTACTCTGTTGCAGCATATCATGTGAAATCTGTTGTTTTTGTTGCAGCGTCAAGCCACCCGGTGGCCGTCTCTCATGGTGTCTCTGCACCGCATATTGAAACTGCTGGCTACCGGTGGATGGTTGGTAGTTTGTTTGTGCACGTACTCCTGTCACTGTGTTATACGCTGCAGCAATGTCATTCTGCCAACTGGTTCTTTCGTCTGCAACAAAGTTATTATATTTTGCATCTGCGGGTTTATGTTCTTTATGTAGTGCCACGGTAGAAGAAGTCCTATTTAAGTTCTCATTGTTAGACGGTTGATCATTTGAAGATGCAGCGGATGAGATATGCTCATATGAGCTACTTTTTCTGAGATTGTGAGCTCGTTTAGGGTTCTCCTTCATAGTTGTAACACTATGACTTTTCATAGAATCGCTTGGGTATCCCCGATTGAAACTGCGGCTTAGGCCGCTTCCTGCCTTCACTGGAATGCTCGCGGTCTTGGACATTGCTGATGGGTTGATACTGTGGTCGGCTGCCATTGGACCGATACTTGCCCCGGAGTACTGTTGTGTTAACAAGCTTTGAGTATTGGCAGATGAATACTGGCGTGCTGCTTGGCGTTTTGCCAAACGTTGCAGAGCCTCCTGTATTGCTTGTTCACTGCCTTCCGAGAAGTGTCGAGCAGCTGTTATAATTCAAACATTAACAATAATTTTTTATAATTTCTTGAGATGTTCCTGATGCAAGATATAAATAATAATGAAAGAAAATAGCTGAATGAATGAATGATTTAATGAATAAGAAATGAATGAATGCATGAATGACTGAAAGCTTCGTAAGACCACTACAAAGATGGGGTAATGGTAAAATAGACGAATTAATGATTAAATGAATGATAGAATAAACGTACGACGAATGACTGAAAACTTCATCATCCAACTATTGATGATTAAATGAACCATAAAAATGAATGCATGATGAATGACTGAAAACTTCAAAAGACTGCTACAAAGATAGGGTAATGGTAAAATAGACGAATTAATGATTAAATGAATGATAAAATGAATGCATGACGAATGACTGAAAGCTTCATAAGACCACTACAAAGATAAGGTAATGGTAAAATAGACGAATTAATGATTAAATGAATGATAGAATAAACGTATGACGAATGACTGAAAACTTCATCATCCAACAAGAAAGATGGGATAACTGTAAAATAGATGAATTAATAATTAAATGAACCAACGAATAAGCAAATAAATGAACGCAAGAATGAATGATTGAAAACTTCATAAGGCCACTCCAAAATATGGGTAATGGTGCTAGGCAGACAACTTCTACACCTATGGGATTAATCACTGTACAAAAAAAAAACATACAATGTATTAGCTTATCTATGTACAAGAAAAAAGGAAAGTGGCAATGTTTCCTCATTAAACATTTTGATACAATATATTTAGGAAGTTGTTGAGGGTAATGTTGAAATTGTGAAATCATGAGTAACTTTGTTAACAATTGGTGTTATAAAAACAATTCAGAAAACTTTATTAGCCATTGAAAACAGATTTAGAAAAACAGAAATGGGGTTAAGAGACAATAATTACTCAAAAATAACACTTCAGGATCAAAGTAAACAACCAACACCTAGAGATAGAAACGGGATGATTGTTTTTATAAATAACTGCAAACAATGTTAAAGCTAATAAAGATTGTTATCAAGATTAAATGAAAATATTTTTACATGCTTCGACTTGAGAAAGTTGATCTATATAAATGATGTTTTTTTAATAGTATATGATGATGGCAAATGAAAGTACAGTTAGTTAGGTTGTTAACTCCCACACAAAATAAATTTACAACCACAGTAAACTTCAAAGTACGTGCTCTAACTACTGTACTTCAAAATAATTAAGGTATAAAGTTACACCGGAAAGAATCGACATACATATGAACAAAAAAACAAGATGTACGTAGATTGTTTCGCAGAAACACACAATGAATATACATTAATATAAATCATTCATAAATTTTACCGCTTAATGTTTTGAGTTAAATACTTTAGCATAATTTTAACTACATTTTAATTATCTTGATGATTTATTAGTATTTTAGACAATGTAATGTAATGTTAGGCATGTATAATTAACTAAAGGTTCAAACTATGTTTACATTATTAATTGTATTTGACCAATAAATAAATCTAAAATCTTAATTCTTTATTTTTAGTATAGAAAAATCTATTCTGTCCCACTTCCCTAACTTTGACTTATAAAACAGGGACACGATATAAAATGTTGCAAGCTAGTAACAATTTTCAATATGATATGCTACAAACAGGTATATTTGTACAAAACAAAATTAAACGCATGATACAATGCTAAGTCTATGTGTTACCAAATTATTGGTCAAGATTTTCGAAATCCAGTTGCATTACTTATGTAGTTGGACAAGATGCTGGTCTTTCTACACCTTAGGAATAATAAATGGACACCTGGTAGGACATGAATGTTTCTGGAATGAATTTAGTCTTAGTAATGAATTAGCTGCTCAACTAGAAATACTCCCCCTGGTGTGCAGAATGTTTCACATAGGACATTAATGTTTATCCAGTGTCCAATACATGTTGGTTTAATTTATTTGTTGTAAACACTAGTTGTTCACATAGATTGGAAATGTCACAAGTCTCTAATTTATTGACTTTTCCTAGTGTTAGACAATTTCGGAGTTCCACCAGCATCTGCTTTTTTTTTAACGTTGTTGAATTTGGATGGAAATTAGCACCAAAAAAACGTATAAACCTAAACCCCCCAAAAAAGTATAGTATGGAATGCCATGCAAATAAGCAATATGGAACGCCATTGGTGCCAAAACTGATTTATTTTAATAGTTTTCACTGATTAAGACAATATTTAGGGAATGGAACACAGTCTAGACCCACCTTGGTAACAGCATGGTTCTTAACTAATCTTGCTCCTCCTTGGCTCTCCACATACAGTAGTATGGGTGATACCTTGGTTAACCTTTTTATTTTTCATTGTCTGTTAATTGGTGAGCAGAAACAAACCTTCTTTATCTGTCATTAATAAATATTATTCCATTATTCTTTCATAAACCATTAAAAAGGTGGAAAAAATATGGTTATGTTCCTTTTCCCCCAGTTTTTAAATATTCAAAAAGTTATATCTCAATTATTCCATTTCCAAGTTTTTTGTCAAACACCTTTTTAATGTCTTTGAAAAATCAGTTGAAAACATATAAAAAAATTGAGACTGGCTTTACATTCGCTGGTCTGATCAATTCAAAATTGTAATAGAAAAATGTATGTAAATAAAGTAAAATGCAAATGATTCATTTTTTAACTATTTGGAAGTTGATAACATTATTAGGTCATTATAAATAAGCAAATCAATTTTTAATAAAACTTTACCATATATATATATATAATAAAAGTTGTAAATTCCATATTTTCTGCTTCATATTTTCAACATCTGGATAAAGTAAGCAATAACTTGAGCTCATACTCAGCTTTGATTTCATTAGTCACATGTGTTTCTAATTTAAAAACCCGTTCACAACATCTCACCAATGAGAATACAAAACCTAATGCTGAACACTCAGTGGTCTGATTGTAAGGTCAAATGGAGGTAATCAAGCGCTGTTCATAACATTTCAAATCCAAGTAGGTGTAAACATCAACGAAATTACATTAAACGATGACTATTCAAAATACGAATCCTAACTTTACATTAATACACCCTAGGCCCTCCGCACAACATGTGCTTCCATCCATGGTACTACATTATAAAGTTCATTTAATTAGAGAATTCAAGATATGCCTTGGAGTCTCTTATTCCTGCTAGTTTTAGCCACAGGGAGGAAATCCCGTATAATGCATTCTAAAACAGCATCCATACACACAAATTAAACCCGATAGGTTGACGAAATTTACAAATTTCCTTTTATTCCTAAAGAATTATTAACATACAAGCACGCATAATGCATGAGAAATGTCAATCATATATGGTGATGACGCTAAGATTTGCCTGACAGGGGTCCAGATGATTTGACGAAGGGAGGGGTGCCATGTGAGGGAAGTGACCATTTAGGCTAGAAGCAAGGAAATTTTTGGGGGCTCCACTGTGGCTCGGGGAGAAAGCCCTGGTGAGGGTTGAAGGGGCATAGTCTGTACAAGCTTTGACTTTCATTGAGTTTTAATATTTTTCAAAAATATTTTTTTTTATGTTATAGAATTAGACATGCAAAGCAAAGAGTGGGATTGCTTTTAACACAGTCATTGCCTTGCTTTATGGCAAAGGTTCTAAGTAACTAATGTTGTTGTGATTTTGCTTAATTATGTTTAAAAGAAAATTAAAATAATTACCAATTACTTTGATAGTATGTATTTTTTTGCTACATGTCTCAAGTCGGACTTGTCAATCTGTACTATCCCTGTCTGGTATAATATTAAGAAAAGAGTGTAGCTCTCCACAAATTAAAGAGGAATGTGATGGTGGCCACATTATAGTTCACATGGATTATGTGTTGCAGTTTTCATGTCTATTATACCATGCTCCCACTTTCTCCTTGCACTGTACCAATGAGTATAATACATAGATGTTATTTTAGGATTTATACTCACAAAGCACTTGAGCACCACCACAAAATAAACAGTAATGAAGTCAGAAAAAGGAAATTTGATGAATATTATCTGTAAATAGAATGTAGATATTAGTAAAAAGAGGAACAGTGTTAAAATTCAATTTAACAGATGATGAAAAACAATGCTTCTAAAGAACTACAATGAGTTGTTAATAAGGAGACACTTGTACCAACTACAAACCAGAAAACCAGAGGGTTAGTGTGTTAGGTGTTAGATGATCCTTCAAATACTAAGCTTTGATCTACCTATCTGACCACCCGATGCATCACGATACAGAACAGCACTGCTGGGCCTAAGTTGGCTCTGGTGTTCCCCTAGTGAGTAAAAATCACAAATATCATTCATAACAAAAAATACACAACAGATTACCTTTTTACAACACTGTCACTGAGGAAACTTATTTTTGTGTCATGTGTACAAGGCATTGGCAGATGGGGAAAGGCTACAAATCTCATGTACTGTATAAATTGAAGGGCACCTAAGCAACAAGGGTAGCTTAGCTCAGTCGTCTAAACTGGTGGTATAGCCACTGTGTGTGCTGAACTGCGATGGTCTCTTGGTCCCCGGATCAATTCCCATTACTGCTCTTCTTGTTGTTTATCAGGAGGGCTAAAATGCAGGTTTCAATAGAGCAACATCTTTTTGGACCTGCCACTGGTCCTGTGTGCAATCAAGGATATATATTAATACCACCTTCGTGCAATATAGCACATGTGCACGTTAAAGAATGCAGTACACTTTTGGAAGGAGTAGGGGATTGTTTCTCGGTGGTGTACTAACCAATCACCACCAGAAGAACCCCAGTGAAGAAATAAGTTTTCTTTGGACTTCTGTGAGATTATCCTTGGTGCTTACACTGAATAAATGAATCCAATCATCAATAATTACATGAAACATAACAATATCCAGCACACATTTTGACTAATATACTTTCCAGCATGATAAACTTTTTGTTTCATATTTAGTAAGATTATAATAACATCATTGTCCATATATTTGAGCACAGTCTCTGTCATCTATATATACTATCATTATTATTTGGTTATTATTCATCTTGCATTGTAGAGTATCATATTTTGTATTGGTCTTAAACAAAACTTCAGCAAACCTATTCTACAAGACAATAATTCTTTTAAATCTTTCATTGTACAAATATTATTTTTCAACACTGAGTTGGTTTCGATATTAATGTCTTGTCAATCATCATATTCAAAACTTATCCCTCACAGAACCCGAGTCATGCTACCAAACCCCACCCGCGATGTGCGAACATCAATAACTGGTCATGTGACTACTCAATACAGATGGGGATTTTATCAGACCAGGACCCACTTCCTATGAACATCTCCCAAACGTAAACTATTATGTCGTCTTCTCGATGATGATATTGACCACAGAGAGGCCGTCATTGGCCAGTGTTATTTGAGGAAATTGCCAACACATGGCAATCAAAAGTCGCAAAGTGTGGTTCGCGATTTGTGAAGTGATGATGACTATCAAAGAAACCGGTGATTAAACACAAAAACCTTAAGTGTAAATAATGTAATAACATAACATCTGAAATTTGTACAGCGCCACCACTTCATCAGTAGCGTTTTTCTTATTTTATTGAACACAACCAGTTTCACGACCAATATCAAATCCAAATAAAATTAAAAATTTAATTTATTCTAAATTTTTAAACCACTTTAATACAAGTTGTTGTAATAATTCACATTTTTCGTGGTCATAAGCTTTAAAGTTTATTACAGATGAAAACTTTGAATCCATTGATAAATAATAGATTCTAAATTTAATAAATTCAGTGACCTCTTTATATTTCAACAACTATAATGAAGACTTGCATAAAAAATTACCAATTACCAAATTACAATTTTTTTGCTTTAAAATGTACAAAACCAGTTAAAACAACGCTAAGTATTAATGCTAACCGATAACTGGTTGCCTGTACGGTAAGGATAAGGTGTTAATTGGTCTCACTATCTTGAATGATAAGAGAAAAGTGTAACATTTGGAATGCTGCCCAAGATTTTATTAAAATTTATCTAAGAGGAATTAACCAAATTTATATGTGAAGTAATTAAAGTAACTCATGTGGTGATACATCCAGTGTAGCTTGGTTTCCATACAATCGCTACACACCATCGCCGACCGACAGCTTTCTGTGATACTGATTGGTGGGTTGAATTGAGAAGCCTTCAGGGACTGCTACGCATTACAGCAATTGCACTGAAAACACGGCAGCAGCAGTGTAGCGATTGTATGGAAACCAAGCTTAACATGAATGAAATTCAACATTATACAGTGTATCCTAATGGTAAAAATTTAAATGTACATTAGAATGGACTAAATGTAATGGCCAATCATAAATATTTAGCACAGAATGTTAACATTTTCATGGTACAGATGTAGGAATGGGCTCACAATTAATTATAGTGTTACTGTTAGCTTATGAGTCATTTTAACTATCATCAACAGCACATTCCTAGGACACTTTGTTTTTGAGGTTATATTTAGAGGTTGCCAGCTTTCAGCCAATCACAGTCTTTGAATGAGAAATCATTCAATTTTGAATTCCCTCTGGAATGCAGTGTATTTCCCTGTAACAGATTTAGCCGTGGCAAACCACAAAAATACAGAAGTTCCCTGTTTTGATAATCTTAAACTTTTGATTAAATTGATTCCCTAACCATGGCAACTATTGCAGAGAGATTACGAGGGGAAGTATTTTTCTTCCTGTTGGCTCTATCAATCACTACTGGATTTCCTCTCTGAAATTCTGCTTAGTTCATTTATTCCAAGATGAAAATTAAAAAAATATAATAACATTAAGAGGATCATTGAGGATCATTGATACATATTCTATTTTGGCACATCAGATGTGAAAATACAATACAAAAGCATCTATTTACTAATATTTATGTACTTGTTAAGTGTTTATTTAATAATATTTCCTTTAAATATTATTAATTTAGTATTGTAATATTTTACAGTATAATTTTAACAAACTTATGTTTATTTCTAGTAAAAATAAAGCTTTGTTTTTGTAAACTAAATTCATAAATTTTGAATTTCAGTTATACATTAAACTATATCAATATTACAACTTGACAATGAATCCTGGGTGAAAATTTAGTGACCTGAATTCCAAACAGAAGACAGTAACTGTCAGTCACCGACTGGTGTTAAACTGTCAGTCACCGACTGGTGGTAAATGCATCAAGGAAACCGATAAATCCATTTACAATATAAGGGATTACAACTTGATAAATCCACAATAGTAACGGATCTGTTTTATCGTTAGCTATCAACAGCATTGTTCGCCTTCACCAGACACATAAAGAGAATAAAAGGCATGAGAATCAACAGTAAATGATATAACAGAATATACATCAATTTGCAAGTAATTTTCAAGGTAATAGAATTAGGTAAAATTGTAGTTTTGTAATGAATTAACTTTATGTATTTATTGGGTGTATTAAAAGATCAAAAGGTTGCATTAAACATCAAAATGCTGTGAAATTTGAGTTGGTCTGTGTTTTTTTTTTTTTTTTTTGTGTGTGTAAAACTTTCACACTCATTCAGTTACATTTGAATGAGTAATTCATCCTGTTAATAGTAATAAATACTAGAAAATGAAAATCCTTCAATATATATAAAGCAGATCACATTAAAGTCTCGGATAATTATAAACAAAGATAAAAATAATATTAATAACAAGAAAATAGTAACAATAATAATGACAAAAATTATATGAATAATAATAATAATAATAAATAATAATAATAATAATAATAATAATGATAATAATAATGTTTAAATAAAACATGCATTATAAAAATTAAATTCGAACATATATGTATTAATTAAGGTGAGAAAAGAAAAGATACGATAAACTTTATAGCATGACGACAAAATGATGAACATAAATCTGGATTCCTTGTGATTAACTACACAAATAATACAGTATAAAAAAAATAAAATACAAAGATTGGTTGCACTTAAAAATAATATATACATGAAAGACTGCTCTGAAAAGTTGAGTTGTAAACATGGGTTGAGTTATAAACAGAAGATCAGTTAACCAATTTTTCAATCAATTAATTATTCATTCAATTAATTAATTAACCACTCAATCAATCAATCAATCAATCAATAAATGTATGACAGTAGTCCATTGTTAGATGAATACATCCTTAAACTCCATTCTTGTCTGTCAGTGTCACTTGTATCTCTCCAGCACTGTCTCATATTAATATACCACACATAATTTCTCTTTATTTATAAGTTAATTTTTAAAGTGCATTCCCAAAGGTTGAAAGTACAATAATAATATTATTAATCACTAACAAGAATATGGCATTATGAGAATTCAAAACATGTGTAATTATACCCTTTATGGTCTCTACTTGTTTTCAGTACATGAATAACACATTGTCAATTTTCAAAAATTGTACTCAATTACAAATATAAAATTAGAATTATTAGTATTTTTGTGTATATATGTGTGATTATGGTAAAATAATGTGTCTGGACTAGTGGAAGTAGACTTTAGGTTTGCATCTATGTATTTTTATTTATAATTTATATTAAGCCATGAAACATGGTGGTTCAAATTCACAGCCCATCAACAGTGCTAGCTTGGATATAGGCATGGACGGCCTAGAATGGTTAGCGTGTGATCGAATTCGAGACCAAGTGGATCAGAGCCAAATTCAAAAATTCTCTGAACTTTTTTGGAAATTTTATTTTTATAGAACATAATGGTTAAAACCCTTAAATTATGTGTGACATAGAACATACATTTTGCTTAGTTAATTATTACAGTTTAAAATGGTAAAAATAAAAAAATAAATGCACTATGAAAATAATAATTTTTTAAAAATTTATGCGTAAAAAGTTTCTGAACAGCAATGAGTTGCCTTTTATTCTTATCTATTGCACAACTTGTTAAATGTTGCAATTGAGTTTGGGAGGAAAGACTTAATGTATTTTGAGGCTCATGCGGTTTTTACAGTAACGAATGAGATCTCGATATCAATACTACGCACAAATTCTCAACGAGATATCCAGCTGGACTGATATGCATAAAACGCTGATATTGTTGGCATAATAATGCTGTTAGGACGTTGGACTACCTGCCGTTATTAACCGCAGCATTCGTCATAAAAATGAACAAATTTGATGAGATTATAGTCACTATTTCATATCATAATATATATCTTCACCAATCACTAAAGAACTTTTAAGCCCCAATCATCCGTCACTCACTAATTAGGATTATTAACATGAAGTATACAAATGTACTTGATAACAAAATAATGAATATAATACGCCCACAATTTCTTGTGTAAAAAAAGCACCCTCTAGTGGCAAAACATTTTAAAGTAATTTAAGTAATTGAACATTCCACAATGATGCATATATATCATTATAAAATTACAATGTTTTGGGCTTTTTTCAATAAAGACACCAAACTAATAATTTTTAAAAGACAGTGCATCTATACCATTCTTGAGTAACAAAGGATTCTCGAGAGGCAAGTGATAAAATTACTAAATTGTAAAACCATGGACCTATTAATAGGTCTATGGTAAAACCAATAGTAGATAAATAATTGCTTATTTATCATGCAAACTGTGTAATAAATGAATGAACTGAATAAACAAATTAAAGTACATTTAAAAAAAATAAATAAATACATTTAACATGAGGAACAAAGTGCTTGACATTAAAGTGCATATGTATAAAGTTTGACAGACATGTTAACATCAATTGCATACAGTGGCATATCTAGGGTGGGGAACGTGTGAGGGTTGGGGAAAGTGGGTGAGTTGGGGATCTATCTATAGCATAATGTATACTTATGGATAAAACTGGCTCTAACTGAAACAAGTTCTGAGCTATTAATAGTCCTGGTGATATTTGTTGTTTTAAGCCTGAACTATGACCAAGAACCAGCACTTCATTCACTTGCACAAAAGTTTACAATATTCATTTTGTCTTAAACCTGTTTCCCACTAGGCGAATTTATTTGTGCAAATCGAAAGCATTGGTTTTTTTGCTTCAGCAAAATCAGTAGCTCTTTAGACTGCTTCTACTTTTTGCGAAGTGAAAAAATGTGCAACCAATCAGAGCTCAGAAAGGGAACTGACGCTTTTGATTCGCGCGAATAAATTAGCCTAGTGGAAAATAGGTTTATGCTTCCCGTGTGTGATAACAGTACTGTTGAGATTGGTTTTTTTTTCTTGACGTATAAATGTCGTGTATTAGTACTGGGTTAGTTTTTCATCTAAAGAAATCATTACCTTGATCAAAATGATTGGTCTTGGCTGAATACGGTCTTTGCCGAGTTATTTTAGTACTGTACAATGGAACGGCACTTTGGTAGGACGACGAGGCACGGGACTGGTTACTTGGAGTGGTTTGTGGACGTTTCGTACCGCTACTAGCATCACCCGAACCTAAGCATAGATGGATGAATAGCAACAACAGACATAAAGTGAATTGAAGTGCAGTGATGAAATGTAACATACAAAGCAGATAGAAAAGTGTAGCAAGTTTGGTATGAAATGTGTTGTAGTGCTTATATTAGCAGAATAATATACATATTCATTTTTTAATTGCACACAAACTACTACTACTAAGCATAAACATATGGCAATGACTACTGTTAAGAAACACTGAACAAATATACATTATAGTCTATATAATCATAGTTACCATAGATAATATGTAAAAGGATAGGTAAGATTATTTATGGTTATAGTAATTTAGTGTCTGGTTTCCAATCAGTTAGGTTGAATCCTCTACATTTCTAGATGTTTGTCACTTCAAAGTAGAACTTCCAGATTCCCCCTTAAGTGTTATTGGCTTTCTGAGCTAACAACGCACATAACTATCTTTCCTTTTAAATAATCTATACTCTTGTAATTCCTGTATTTGTTATTGTTTTTTAAAATTAATTGGTTTAGGCAGATGACCAAGGATATGCCAAACAGCAGACTTAATCACTTTTATAAGTGGCATATCCCATCACAAGATAAACATAAACACAAGATGCTCTTACCGTAGTTCTACATAAACTAATACCCGATTCACACGTACAAAAATCTACCAAAATGTAACAAATTCTTACATTTGCCCAAGTGTGTGAATGCACATCCTTGTAAAACAAATGTAACATCCGTGTAATAGCTCGGTAATCTTTACCGACATCAGCGAGGTCTGTAAAGATTACCAAGATTTTAATCGAATCGACATGGCCTAGCCAGCTGTGTGGCTCGAATTATTTCAAAACAAACCAAGCCTAATTTCTAGCCGGCCTAGGATAATTGCTTATTATATGTACTGCAACATTCAGAATGGAGGAATTCTTATTATCAGTGTGGTTATTGATGAAAAGAGGAGAAGAAAATCAAACATTATGATTCTAGTGTCGTTAGGATAATCAAACGACGTCAGAAATTTACTATGCTGATGAATTTGATTTCTTTGAACATTTGCTGAAACGGTAAGTAAAGTAGCCTAGCCTAGGCCTAGCTTGTTCGATTCTCGGCCGATCTTAATATAATAAATATATACTGCCTAAAACCCTCCTTTTTTAGACTCCCGTAAACTTAGGATATATATAACGCC